TCCCTCAGCCGCTCCTCATAAGACTTGTGCTCCAGACCCTTCACCAACTTCGTTGCCCTCCTCTGGACACGCTCCAGCACCTCGATGTCCTTCTTGTAGTGAGGGGCCCAAAACTGAACACAGTACTCGAGGTGCTGCCTCTCCAGTGCCAAGTACAGGGGCACCATCACCTCCCTGGTCCTGCTGGCCACACTGTTCCTGATACAATGATTCTCAGTAAAACTGTTTCAAAAGTCCTTGTTTAATCACCATACTGAAAATATACAGCATTTGTAATACTGAATATGAATCTTGCTGTGCAAAGGCTAATCATTTTAATATATTTAAGACTGCAAACACAAAATCCATGCCAAAGCATGCTGAACAGAAACAGAATCAGATTACCAAAAAATCACGGAAATGGCAGTTGTTTGTTAATTTAGTAGCAAGTGCCTATGGTTAATTGCAGCATTTTTTGAGGAACCCTAATTATTAACAATTTGACTTTCTCTTTCAGGAATACTGAATCCTGCAGTTCTGCAACAGTAAATAGCATGTTTTCCCTTGTAATTCAGAAGATATGGGGACTACAGTATTTCTGGGGTTGAAGAAGTTAAGAAAATTGCTAGGGTAACCCTGGAGGTGGATTATTGGAGTAACAGGAGACAGCCTGGCTGCTCTGCTTTCCCTTCCAGCCCCCCTGTTCTTTACGGCCTGTTAGAAAGGCAGGGTTGCCCCCCAAGTCTGTGTTTGAGGCTGAGCCTCTTCAGGTTGTGTTGAGTAGCAGAAGACTCTGCATCGATTCCTCTGTGCAAAGCAACAAATACTTCACCTACTGCTGCTCCTTGTTTTCTCCAGGGAGAGAGGGGATTGCTGGCTGGAAGACGTGGGATTAAGCCATTAGCCTGCTCAGCTCTGTTTTACCTAAAATGTCCTTAGGCCAGCTTGCTTTACCGGCTGGAAAAGGCTGGAATGAATAGCTGTTAAATTGAGCTTGAATACCTCTGTATGATAGTCTTTATTCTGTTCATGCTGGGATTCTTCTTAATTCTTTTACTAAATTTCTCTGGCCTTTTTGAGATAGAAGTGCAGTGAGTTTAGACAAATTAATCTGGCAGTTATAATTCAAAGGATAATTTAATTTTAGTGTGTTTCTTTTTTGCCACACCACCTAGCTTTAGGCTTAGTAGTTAAATAACTGCTTACGCTGTGCGTTCAGAAGGTAATTCAGAGCACCTAAGTTGGGCTTCTGTTCTGAATTTCCTTCTGTGGGGTGCTCTCCCTCTCCACTGATGATGCATGAAGAGACTATGAAGGCTAATTGCGATACCCTTGTATATTTTTACATTTAAGCTATGAAGTGTGCTTTTGAGAGAGAGGAGGGTTTTTGTATGCAATTCTAGCTTTCCAAAGTAAGCAGAAGGGGTCGATATCTAATACGGGAGATATTTGTGAAATAACTGGAAAACTGTTCAAGAATACTTAGTTACATTGGAACTATATGAAGAAACTTGGTTATATTGTGTGACCTTATAATTAAACACAAAGTTGCTGGTATGGTTTCTTTAAGATTTTCGTCTACAGCAACAAGTAATTAAACAGTGCAGATAGAAGGAACTAGACATAAGCTAAGTAATGCTAGCTCAGATAAATATCTGTTAAACATAGTTATTATAGCACATTATTTTTAATGTAGTTTAAAATTGAATTCTTACATTTAATCCTTGGGGGGAATAGAAGGGAAAAAAGCCAATATACAGTGGTGTGGGGGTTTTGTTTCGTTTGGTTTTTTTGTTTGTTTGGTTGGGGTTTCTTTTAATCTAAACTTTTTTTTTTTTAATCTAAACTGCTTTATTGCTTCTTTTTCTTACTTTGCTGTAATACACAATTAATAAGAAAGTGATTGTTTTGTAGCAAAAAAAAAAATCACTTTATGGTAAATCTGTGGAAAAACTAAGAACCATGTCTTGTCAAGCAAGGTCTTAATAAGGACTGTAGAGTAGATAAAATTAAAAATTAATAAATTAGCATATATGGCTAGATATTAGTGTATGTGGCCTCTCGTTTGCTTCCCAACCTGTCTCAAGTGATTCTGCATAATTCGGGACTGAACATGAAGGGTGCTTGGTGGGTGCAAGAGAGAGATGCTACCTGTTTTATTCCAGTCAGATGTATTGAATGTCAGCTGTGTGCGTAGCACAGGGAATGTGGCCTATGCCTTGGCGAGTTTATACTCTAAATCTGGGAAGTTGGGAGCACTCTATGGAGGAAGATGAATTTCATCTGGGCTGAGATTATATTTAGGATGGGAAGTCTTTCTCAGTCTAGTGTGGCTCTCCTGTTTGATGTCAACTGGATACTTGTACAAAAGACTAAAATGAATTGTGGACATGGTGACTCTGTTATGTCTTGCATTACTCACAGCAGACAGGTTTGCTTTTGGGGTTTGCATGAATTTTCTTTTTCTCTTTCTTTTTTCTCTTTCTCTTTTTCTTTCTCTTTTTCTTTCTCTTTTTCTTTCTCTTTTTCTTTCTCTTTTTCTTTCCCCTTTCCCTTTTCCCTTTCCCTTTTCCCTTTTCCCTTTTCCCTTTTCCCTTTTCCCTTTTCCCTTTTCCTCATCTGTGTCTTTAATTTGTTGTTTCTATTTAATTTGTTTTGTTGCTGTTCATTCCAATGGCTGTTGTTCATGTTCTCCCCTGTGTGGAACAGCTCTTGAGTTCCCACCCCGTGGCATCACTGATTGCTCTCCTAAGCAAATCAGAATGAATTTTTCATGTTGATCCAACATAATTTTTAAGAGATAAGTAATTATTGAGAATTGGCACATTTTCTCTCTGAAGATTCAGAAGGCAAATATTTTAGGAGAAAGATCAAGATGTTACTTATTAGCATTAGGGTTAACATAGTGTTTGTTCTTTTTGTTCCTTTAACTTTTTGACCACTGGAAGCAACTTGAGAACCCTGCAAGACAAAAACTGAGTGTAAGCTCTGTTCAGCTTAATTCATGTACGTACAGTAACTGCTTCTGTTGTTGCAAATGCAAAAAGAAAGCAAAAAAAAAAAATCCCACCCAAACCTCTAAATACAGACTTCTGACATGCTACCCACTATAATTTTCTAGGAAATTAATTCTAAATAAATAAAATATAATAATATGGTTGCAAACCTGCTCCATCCGTTAATATTTATTTTATTCTTTGAACTCACTAAGTAAAATAAATCCTACTGAATGTTTTTGTTACAGTCAAGCAGATCATTGGTCATTCTTGTGCCACTTGTAATGGTCTTGATAGATATGTGATATACTTGAAAAAAGTCATTTGAAAAAGATGCCAAGAGCCTCTCTTTTGACAGTGGAAGACAGCAGTATTTGTACTTCTTTAGGAACCTGTAAAAATGTATGGCCCACCTTAGTGAGAGAGAAACAGGGTGGAGAAATAACTGATGATATTGGTTATTCTGGAGGGGCCAATGCTCCAGCATAGCAAAACATGGATGCTTAGATGAAATTAAGGACTGCTCTGAAGGTAACTTGAGTATATTCAAGAATATGATAGTGCTGGTTGTTAATGCAAGAGTTTAATAAAAACTAGACAAAGAAGTCATTAGTGGGGCTTGCTTTCAAATCCAATTTGTTGAAAATACAGTTTAAAAAGTGTATCTTTAACTGACTGTTCACATTTGGGATACATGCATAATAAAAATAACCAGTAGGCACTGCTGTTAAAACCAGCGGTACAATCTGTTATGCTATGAAGAGATTAAGACTTCGCAATTCAGTTAAGTAGAGACATTGCTTCACGAAAGTCAGTATATCTAGGTCACAGTTTTTTAGTGTGTTCAAAGGCTCTTTGTGTTTCAGAAGTGTGATCTGCATCTCCTTGCAGAAGCTGTTCCTTTCTAAAGAAATGTTTAACTCTGCTTCTACTGAACAGCTTCAGGTTTTTAATTTTTTTTTTTTTTGGTATGCGTGGAAGATGTAAAGCTTCTAACCGTACTCTCCTTCTGTGTCTGGAAAAGTGCGTCTGTTCTTCCAGCGTTTAACTGGTGTTTTCCTGTTGTGATGGGTACTTTCCATCACGTGTATAGACTGTCATCCTTCTGTCTCTTACTGATTTCTGCAGTTGTTTAAGAGAAGAAATCACTAAAAATGTCTTTTGAAGGGCTTTTGGTGGAATTTAAATCCATACTCCTGAGCTTCAGTTTCACTGATTAACTATTTCTAGCCATGATTTATTGACACTGCACAAGATCTGGCATGAATGAAAGGAAGCAGAAGTGCAGTCAGGACTCTGGCAGTCTTGTGTATCACATTAAAAACCCCTGAAACATGAGAGGTAAATTTGGTTGACGCTAGCTTTGTCAGCTATGCTTATTATTTTTTTTCAGTTCGTTTATAGTGTTAAAGCAATATTTTATTCCAGATGCCACTATTAAATATATGCTTGGACTTGAATCTATGTAGTTCAGAAATTAGTTCATATTTTATCTGCTCAAATTCTAATATTCTTGTCAAGAATGTTAACTGCTTCATATGTTGTTTGCTGTATACATTGCTCATAGGGAGATCCCTACATTTTCCTGTATCATAAATGACTGGGCATGATTAACTAAAGAGTGTTTTGTATTTGTATTAATTTTTTTGTTTGGTGGGTTTTTTTTAGGTCCATTTTCCAGACACAGAGAGGGCAGAATGGCTCAACAAGGTAAGTGTAGTCATTACCATCGCTTCCAAATGGGAAGGGGGAGGAGGGAAATCTAAAATAAAAAAAAAAAAACGGTGAGCCAAGAATCTGAGAACAGAGGAGTTTTAACTTTCTGTGCTCTTCATACACTTGAAGCTTCTGGTCGTTGATCTAGTTAGTCACGAGAAAGATTAAATCTATTTTCATGGTCTTGAAATTGTGAGTTTTGGAGAATGACTTTAAGTGGCATTAAAATAATGACAGCTATAATTGTGTGGAAGTTATAGCAGCTGTAAACACAGTCTTATTGTTCTACTTGTCTGGGATACTTTCCAGTTACTGTAGGTTCCTGACCTACAATCTAAAAATAAATCAATTTTGCGGTTTTAATTTTTATGTGTAGTAATCTAAGATCTAGATCTATGTAGCCTGGGTTTTTTTAAAAATATCTTTCATTCAAAGAGCATAGAAGCACATGAGTTAATTAGAAAATGTGACAAAAATAAACAATATAGAATTTTCAGATATGACAGTAAAATACTCTATTTTTTATATTTATAAACCTTATGCATGTATTTAAGAAATGCACTTGACCCATTTTTTCGTATTCCTCTTTACATGCAAATAAACTTAACCCTCTTCACCCTTCTCCCCAGCATTCAGCATCAGTGCTGAATGTGTATGAGTTTGTGGGATAAAACAAGAAAATTCTTAATACTGTTTTTCTCCTCCTCCAGTGCTTCAGATTTGTGCAAATGTATAAAACACACAAATTGAGAATTCCAGAAAACTTTCCTGTATGTAAAAAGGAACCAGTTCTTATGTCTGTAGTGAACCCTATAGAAAACTTGTATGTTTAAAACTTTGTACAAAATTTCTTACATATGCCTTGAAGAATATTTTTTAGTTATGTGTGACGTTGTGTTCCGTGTAGATTTTTTTTATTTTTTTTTTCCCCCCCTAGACTGTAAAACAGATGTGGCCTTTTATTTGCCAATTTATTGAGAAACTCTTCCGGGAGACCATAGAACCAGCAGTAAGAGGAGCAAACAACCACCTCAGTACCTTCAGTTTTACAAAGATTGATATTGGTCATCAGGTCAGTGTCTGGCAAAGTTTTTCTAAGAGGCTCTGTCTTACATACTGTTTTCATGTAGCCTGTTTAAATCTACACAAAAATATTCCTTGGTGACACTTGGTGGTAAGCCTGATTCTGGTTTCTGTTGTAACATTAAAGTAAAAACATGTCTGGCTTTTTTAGGAGCGGCTTCATTTTTATTTTTTTATTTTTTCCTGGGGTCTCTGATTCAGAAATTTGCCTGAGAATTAGGAGAAGACTCAAAGTATAGTAACTCCTAGTCATGTGAAGAGCTCATAGCAACATGAATTTAATACTGTTCATGTAATGCTTTACATTAAGTGAGCAGGGACCATTATCCTTGTCTTGCCAGATGATCCAAGGGCAATTAACTTTCTTGTAACAGATGAACTTTTAATCACATTATGTATGGAGTCCAATGACAAGGCTGCTGGTTCAGCTTTCCAAAGGACTGCACATAACATAGTATCAAGGAGCAGACAGGTGTTTATCCTCTGTTCGGTCACATGAAAGAAGGGGCCGTAATGTATAGCTCTTACATGCCTGCAGAAGAGCCTGTTTGACCAGTCCAAGCTAGGAGTAAGTTACCTCTGCTTGCAATAAGTTTAGCACTGCTTACTCTTACTTGCATCAATCAGAACTGTGCTTCTATTGAGGTGTAGCTTAACAGCTTTTTCAGCTTTTTTGTGAAGTTGTCTTTTGTGTTCTTCTTGCTTGTCATAAATGGGATTTTAAGTAAGGATTTAAAAATCCGCCCCCCCAATGTTAGGAAAACTGAAATTAAATTTCAGGTGTGATGGAGGGTAATTATTTTTCTCTCTTTGTGACTCTATTTCACGTATATTACAGTTCATTATACTTTATTGTGTGTTTTTTTTGTTTGTTTGTTTTTGTTTTTTAAGTTGTAAATCCTTTTACACAGGGGCTCTGTCCTGCCCTAGATACACCTGTGTTACAGACTGTAGAATAGCATTCCCTTTAAGCCATACTAATTTTAAGTAGGGTTTAAATTGGCTTCCAGACCTCTGTGTGCTTCTGCAGCTGGACTGAGTTATCTCAGCAACAAGAAACAACTATTCTTACTTTATATTGCAGCCTTGATTGAGTTGCATCCTGTGAGCTGTACAGCCCCAAACACAGTGGGAATCTGACAGCAGTGAGATTTCCAATTTACTTAAATTACTAAAAAGGTATAAACAGAAATATGGCAATTTTTCCAGAAAGGAAAAACTCAAAATGTGACAGGAGGTGGTGCTGAGGTCATTGGTCGTTTTCTCCCACCTAGTATTTGATGAACGTTTGAGTCTTGGGAATGTTTCATTGATATGCGTTGTTTCTGTATGAGAGAGGGAGGGAGGGAGAGAGAGCACCAGCACAGCGGTTTAGAGAGAGAGAGCACAGAGTGGTGGACACAACTTTTTGTGGGGATTATGGATTATTTTCCATCCATTCTGACTAAATTTCACTTTAGGCAACTGCATTTTTGTGAATTAAATTTGGCCTGTTGTTATAGTTGCACAGAAAAGAATACTTTGGGAGTGTTAGACATATACTAGGACAGAGAAATCAGATGTTTATTGCGGGGGGAAGGGAAAGCTTGATATTAAATCTTCGGAAAATCTAGAAATCTAGTGGTCTAAACCCAGAGTAATTGCCAGAAGGGCTGTGGCTGAGTGGATCCTAGCAAGGTAATTTTTACCCTTGAAATAACATTTTGAGCTAAATTGATAGCTTTGCTTCACACCTTTTAATAATGCTTATAGTAAATTCTTAACTTCAGGCATGAATGTGCGTATATTCACCTTTATTTCGAAGTTAAGAGTTTAATATGGTATAGTTCAATAGAAGGATCCAACTTTTACTTGCTTCATTGTTTCAGCCTCTGCGGATAAATGGTGTAAAAGTGTACACTGAAAATGTGGACAAAAGGCAGATCATTTTGGATCTTCAAATCAGGTAAACTTTATTGTCATGTTACAATGGTGCCCATGCTTTATAATATGTGATTTGTTTGATTGGGCAGTTATGTTGGCCTGAAAGGAGAAGAATTGCTTCATTACACAAATATAGTTAATTCTAATTGTGTATGAACGGAGGAAGGAACTGTATGCTGTAAATAGCATTTGTCAGGGAAATAGTATTATCAACTCAGTGTGACTGCATCATTAAAGTAATGTTGGTTAATAAGAAAATACTTTCCAAAGCTAAAGCATTATCTTTGATTTTGTTTTCTAATGTATTTAAAACTCTTCCATGAAGTTTAGTCTAGTCTAAAATTAGGATACAAGATGTTTGGGTTTTTTTACTTTTCTGAGTTACTTAGATTTTTTTATAAACACAGTATTAGAAAAAGAGAGTGATAGCTACCGAAGTACTTGTGCTCGTGCCACTAACCGAAGTAAATCTATGTATTATATAGTGCCAGAGCGACTGTGCTCTGCTGCTTCAGGTTTCTTTGCCCTTTCATCATGACCCCAACAGCCTGTCCCTACTGCCAGTGGCATAGGCTTCCAGGAAGAAAATGGAAACAGGAGAGCTATGGAGTGACTATCGTAGCTTCTGGCAATTAAGGCTTAGACAAAACCACCGTTAAAGGAAGTCCTGTTTCATATTTAAGACTTGTCCTTGACACCTTCTCATTGGGAAAGGGCTCTTTATCAAAGGCTTTTAGTATGCAAGGTTAAGATGGACGGCACCCCAGTATCAATTGTTACTGTTTGATTCTGTGTTTTTTTTTTTTTTTTTTTTTGGTATGTTCTCTAAGGGTCCATTGCTGGGATTGTTTCAGTAGTAACAGGAAGGAAGAATAAGAGTCTTTGTAATAAATGTTCTTGGCATGTTTAGATACAGAGTTATGTACAGATAACAACCCTCAAGTATTTCTTAGGGAATCAACTTTAGTTCAGTTTTGCAAGATTCTAAAGAACAGTCTTACTGCTGGAGAAAAGTCTGTCCTTTGGAATATTTATCCCTGTAAATTTTCATCTCCAGTTAAATTAGTTTGTTCTAATTTTAAGTTTAAAGTTAGGAGCTTTCGATAAGCCCTTCAGTCCCTAAATACAGTTGAGAAGGAAAACAATCTCTCTAAGCATTCGTAAGAATAGCTGTACAAAGCCAAGCCCTGTGGGGGGGTGTGGCGGGGGGGGGGATGGAAAGATATTTTTGTTTTTTTTTTTTTTTTTTTTAAGTACATTCATTCTTTTAATAATCTCCTTTTATCCTGCTCTTTCACCATTGTGGCCTCCTTTAGCCCCTTCTACTGTCAGTTGTTTATGTTGCGGTATATGCATTTCCTTTGGACCTTCCATACAGTACATTTAAGTAGTTTCAACGTGTCTCCAAAACACTTCTTTACTAGTTTTTGCATCTTCCTTGAGTTTTTTTGGGTTTTGCTTTTGAGTTTAATTGCAAAAGGAGTGTGGTTAGTTTTTATTGTTTCTGCAAGGATATCGAGTGCATTATGATCATTGCTTCAGAGTGTTTTTCAGGACCTTTTGAAACAGGTCCTATGCATTGCTCAGGATCCAATTAAGAACTTTACTCTTGTAAGCAGCTTGACTAGCTAATCCACAAAGCAGTCACTGGAAAATGTATTTAAAGATTCAATTTCAGGACCATGTTTGCAGAGGGAACATTTTACCTTTCTATTACTTACTGTGAGCTTTATGTTAAAAATATTGTCAAAACTCATGCTACAATTTAAAAGTCTAGTTTCTGGTGACAAAGGCGTGCAAGGGAAAAATTTTAACTACTTGAGCAAATGAAGATAAAGTCTAAATAAATTGTTAATAAATAGGAATCTTACATTTGCGAAAGTGTATGAATGTAGTCAACACTTGGGGAAAACTAAAGGTTATGGATCAACAGAAAACAAGATAAACCCTGTCAAATTAAATGTGAATTGTAGTAAAGAAAGCCAAAAAAGATTGAGAGATTGAGGAAATACTTGTTAATAGCGTACAACTGAGTTTTTTCACCTTCTCATGACACAAAAAATAGAGGCACTAAAAGAAAGTTTTAGGCTGCAGATTTAAACACATGGAAATTTTTTTTTTTTTTCATGTGGCATACTTGGATGGAGAAACTCACTACCATTGTACAGGCAGAAGACAGATATAAAAATGGGGTTGAAAGACCTTCTAAAGACCTTCTAAAAATAGTGAAGATAGTCCAAAGTACAGAAGCAGAGATCATTGTAATCTGGGAAATATGTGTGTCCTGTTCTTTGTTTGTTTGTTTTTCTTCTGGGTATCTTCTATGGACTACAATGACCACATATAATATACTATGCCTTCTCATCTGATTCAGTACAGCTGCTGTTATATTCTTACAAGACTGTCCTCATTAAACTGTAATCTATCTCAGTGATCTGTACATTACAGGGGTCATGAATATTTCTGCGATATTATGATTTGAATGTATAGAATTTGCTTACTAAATGAGCCTTCAAGCTGTATGTTATGTTACAGTGGAATTCCATATGGCATCGACTGTTAATGGACCCGGCCAAATATCTTAGGGGATAAACCCATGTTTAACTTTATTATAAGGTTAAAAGTTGTTGACTTATTACCTTCAGATGCAGTTTGTTACTATTTTTACTTGTCATCATGTTATCATGGATTTTCAAATGAGCATGTTGCTTCCCAGTCTCCATAACACAAATAGTTCTCATGCTACAAAGTGCCAAGATTGAGGTTTCAGTTGCAGGTTTTAATTGACCTTGCTTCTCTGTGTCAAGTTGTTATGCAATTATATATGTGTGTGCGTATTTATATATATCTCACTACTATCTCTATATATAGTTAGATAGGTAAAAATAGAAATTACATCGTTTTAAATAGTGTGTTAAAAATTATATACCTATTTTTAAACTGTACAGTCACACTACATTCTTTCCAGGGAAAGCAATGGTCACCTTCCTTTCACATAGACCCCTGTCATGTTGTTGTCTTCCAGTTCCCCAAACCGGTCATTGTACCAAAATGATTCTGCATAGTGTTATCTTTTGAATAGTCCAAAATAAATTCCAATGTTGGATGCTTACAAGAATGTCTTGGTACTGTTGTTTATTTCTGTTTAAGGGATTGATAAGATTTGCAGTTGCTTGAAATCCCATAGACAGCACCATCACACACAGAGCACAGGAGGCTACAGATGATTTGAATAACGGATATCCTGAATGCAGCAACTCTCACCTTCGTTTTCTTTTGATAGAACCTTGTGGCCATTGGTTGTCGGGGGGAGGCGGCAGGGGTCCTGCTGTTCTGCTCTTACTGTGAGAGTAATTTGTTTTATCTTGACTTGCTTCTAAAATGGCCCCATGAGGAGAGCAACTCCATTTTCTTCATAATTTCCCAGGTATTTCTGTAATAAGATTCCATCAGACTCCTAAACACGGCTGAATAGATTTTCACTGTCCAGGCTAGGTCTGAGGAACCTAATGTGAGGAAGCCTGGGCTCTACTGCAGAATCTGGAGCAGGATGCCCTGCAGAGGAAACAAATTTCCCCCCTCTCCCAGCAGTGTCTGGCTTTGTTTAAGCTGCCTTATCTCCTCCCCACTTAGTTCCTTCTTCCATTTTCCTTACCTGGGCAGTCTGTTCAGAAAACTCTTCAGATTTCATTTGTTCTTTTGTTATAACCCATATCTTCTTAGCCAGTCTCCTTGTCCAGCCAGTCTCTCCCTAGCCGTAGCTTGGTATTCAATCTGTTTGGTTTTGTTTTTAGCTCTCGTTCTGTAGAATCGTTGACAAATTCCCTTGCTAAATCAGAGTCTCAAGCTTTCTTCCTAAATTCCTTGTTGAGTCTCAGAATTAGTTTGTTTTCAGACCCAATGTGTGTTCTTGGAAAAGATCTGCTCAGCTCTGCTGGTACATGCTTGACCTGCATGGAGCTTCAGAAAAAGCAGCTGCTAAAATCCGAGTGAGTTGTGTGCAAATCATCTTTTAGCCTTGTAGCATGAGCAAAATAGATGGGGCTTTTTTTACCATCTTCTACAAATCTATCTCTGAGATATAGGGCAGCATCTGCAAAATTTCAAGCCCTTCACCTTGCATCCCCAAAAATGGAATGCAAGAACTGTTCAGGGGAAAACTTACATCATTTTTGATATATTATTTTCTAATTTGCTTCCTGCCTTCTTTCTCCCTTCAGAAAGGGCTCAGCTGTTTTTGCCTTAAACCTTGCTTAGTGGATCATCCAGCTCAGCATGCCCAGCTTATTGAATTTCTAAATATGACTGTTTTTGCAAGCCTCTGAATATTTCAGACAACTTTGATTTTTAGCAAAATAACCATCTCTTTCTAGTGCTTCTCATGATTATATTAGATAAGAGTGGATTTGGGTACACTATCAATGAGACCTGTGTGGAACTTTCCTGAAATGGGGTATGAATTCTGTGTCCGTTCTTTCCCAAAACTAAGGCGTGTTTTCTGTTACGTGTGCTTCTGGAGATGACAACATACCTCTGTATTAATTTGAGTGATTTTGATGACAGTGGTGATGTTTTGAAGGGGATGTAATTTTTTTAACAATCTTGACTTTGTTGTATGTTTTTATGTTTTAATATGCATTTTTTTTGTATAGACTGGGATACAAAATATATTGTCATCTCAGTGCAAAACAGAACTAAGAGTGTATTGCAGTTTAGTGCATAAAAATGAAATGTATACTTTCTTTTTTGTTTTAGTTTTGTTGGAAACTGTGAAATTGATTTGGAGATCAAGAGATACTTCTGCAGAGCTGGTGTGAAAAGTATACAGGTGAAATTCTATTTTTTTTCCTTTTCATTTTGATACTGAGTCGTCACTGAATTGTTACTTTTTGATGAAATACTTTATAAGAAAGAACCAGTAATTGTGTAGTTTGTTGCTTACTATTTTTTTCTCAGTTGCATAATATTGATATTGCATAACAATTCTGGTAACATGACTTAGCTGAAAGGGTAAATTCCTTTCAGATGTAGAACTGTTTTAAATATATAACATTTTCTACTGGAAAAGATGGAGATAATTTCACATCAAGCCAATGCTCATGTGATGTGTAGGTTTGTAAAGGAAACATGGAGCTTAAAATTTTGTTTTAGTTAATATTTCAGTGTTAGATGCAATTATTAGTTTAGATGCAATTATTAGTAGTAGCCTTGCCTTCTGGTATTGTTTTTCAAATTTCCTTAACTTTCTGATAACAGCTCTCTCTCTCTCTCTAACGAGGAAAAATAGTATGCTTTTTTTAATGTGTGTGTGTCTTGACATACCTAAAAGCATTTACTTACTTTTGTTCTAGTGTCTGTGGATGCCATTATATTGGTTTGTGCCACATTTGTTTACATTGAGCTGCATGAACAATCTACTTCATATTTTTAGCAAAATTACCACTAACATGGCACAGCATCATGTAGATGAATGTAATGAATTTGTAAGCCCAACTATTTAGTGCCTCTGTTAAATTTTTGGGGTTTGGATGACATGTAAAGCTATATATATATAAAAGTCTTCCATAATCAAGAATTTAATGAATTAGAAGTGTGAGCATTGCCAGTGAATAAATTTTATTTAAAATTTGAACTGCAGTCAATACCATTGCCTTTTTTTCCTCCCCTTCCTCAGATCCATGGCACTATGAGGGTTATCCTGGAACCACTAATTGGAGACATGCCCCTAATTGGAGCACTCTCCCTTTTTTTCCTTAGGAAACCTGTAAGTACTTTTATCTCTGTTTCTACACTTTTTAGAGTGCTGATGACAGTAATCAGTATGTCTTGGTAATTTGGTGCAGCATTGGTAGAAGAACAGAGGATAAATAGCAAATGTAATTTTCAGTGTCTGAAAATAAGTAACAAATACTCTACAGTTTTAACTGAATTAAATCTTATAAAATATGACAGTAATTCTAGTCCAGGTTTTACTACTTCCAGGAAATTTCTTTTTTAATCTACAGATGCATCAAGAAATGTTCACAGATGTTGCAAAGTCCATACAACAATCTTATTTTAGAAAAATATACAGGAGATCATAATACACATTGCACACTTGCTGGCGGAAACTTCTTTGATGTTGTATATGTGTGTGTAAGGCAGTTTCAGCAATTTGAAGTTTGATACTGCTTTTAATAAGTATCAGCAAGAGAGCTTCATAAAAATGTGAACATCATGGAAATTCTTATGCTACACAGACTTCTTTAAAGAAATTAATTGTTTCCATCTCTTACTTGGAAGTCTGTTTTCCATTGGAAGCTTTTGTTTATTGGTTATGTTCTAATTAAACAGTAAAACTTGTGATCTCAAGATTTAAGAGTTTCAGACTATGCTAGGTCATAAATTACAAGTATATGGGTTTAGGCACTTTGAAACAGTCTCAGATTGGTCATCTTGGTTTCCTCAGCAGTCTCCAACTCTAAAAAGTTGATGTAGTTTTCAAGGTTTGGGGGGTGGGAGTGAATTCTTTACTTCACCAGCTTTAGAAGGTATGTTGCTATTTTCTTCAATGAAGTCACATTCTTGTAAGACAATTCTTTTGAACGAATGTCCTATGATAAATTTTTGCAAACTTGTTGAAAAGATAGGTTTGTATGGATGTTTACGTATGGCCTAGGAAAAACTTACGGTGTCGCTTGCATCATTTATGTGGCTTGTTTCATCTGTCTAGAGATACCATGTGTGCTTGGGTAGAGGGAATGTAGACTTAAATCTTAGTAAAACATGCAAGAATTTGGAAATGTTTTGTGGATAATTTAGTGAGTTTTTTGTAAAAGTGAAACAGTTTATGCAAAACTGATGAAACATCATTGCTCTTTTTTGGAAGGGGTTGGGGAAGTACATTGGGATAAACCAAATTTGGATTTCCACACATTTCTTTGAAGCGAGTCTAAACATTAGGAGATGTCTGCTTAAGTTTTGTCTCATTTTTACCCTCTGGCTGAGCAGTATGAGTGTAGGGCATCTGTTAATGTTCATGTTTATACTAACAAACCAAGCAGGGCCATGACAAGGATTGAACACTGCCTTATGGTGGTCTGCACTGCGTAATCGTTAGTGTGCTCTCTGATATTATTTTGCTGTTTAGTGCTCTCCCAAACAATTTCCAGACTCAGTACACTGCCCAGCTCATTACAGGGACCATCTAATAAACAAGTTAAATGCAAACACTCTCTTTTGGAGGAGCAGGGAGAAGGGTTTAGCTGTGTGGACACAGGTTTTACATTTTTTTCTACAGGAATGATCTTTCTTCATGTTGTAGATGTGGTTCATGTTGTCTCTCTCAGTTCTGTTTTGTATTCACTGAGAAAGAAACCAGTGTACAGTCCTTCTGCAGGAGCCATTCTGACACCCTTGGTGCCGGAGCCATGAGCTGATGCAGTATGTCTGGACTGCTTTCCTCGAGTACCTCCTGCAGCTACTGCTGCTGTGTTGCTTTCTAGGAGAGAGGTAGGGAAGCTGTTAGGGGACAGGGAGGGAGCGATCAGCAGCAGGCGTGCTCGTAAGCAGTTCCTGACACTTCCTCTGTTTCCCACTCCCAGCACTGTGCTCTGGTAGCATTTGTCTGAACCTTTCATTTCTGGTACTCCCAGATACCGCTCCAGTCAGCTTTTAGCTCCGGTACCTGTGCCCAGTCCTTTCTGTCCTGGTCCACGTTAAGTGCTGTGCATTTGCTGAGTGCTTAACTCGGACAGCTTGGACCTGAGATAGTAAACTGAAAATACATCAAATGAAACACCTCTCATTTGTGGTCAGTAACTTTCTGGACACGTCACTTTGGGAAAGACTTTGTCCAGAGTAATTTTGTCCTTCCTCCTCCCCCCATGCCACTTTATTAGGGGTCTGGTTGACTTAGTGGGACAAAAAAGGATGGGAAGTAGACTGGAGTATGAAAATTAAAAAGTCAACCCCTCCCCAAAAGTATTCAGTTACAAAAATATTAAAAAGTATTTTTCACCCTCCTTTCATTTAAAAACTAAGCTAGTGGTCAATGTCTGGGCAAACTTAAGGGTGGATTGTTCAAAAAATGTATCTTTGAATCAAGTTATTCCATAATTTTGACAGTTATAAATGGATGTTTAGTTTTTTTCAAGCAGACTTCTCTCCCCACTGCAGTGTGTCTTCTTGGTGTTTATTTTTCTAACTTCTGTAGAAAAATGTAAAATAATGCTTATTATAGCAATAACCAAATTCTGTCCTCTTACTAGAGAGCAAGTGGCTGTAGCCAAGGAAAGCTTTTCTTCAATATTTTTGTTAGAAGAGAAGAGGAATTAGTTGGCAGCTAGCATTAGATTTTGTTCTCATGTTTTCCAGTCTAAAGTAACTGGCAACAATTCCTCTTGCTCTCTATCATCTGTTTGCTGTCTTTAATGACTATATAAGGCAACGCTCTCTAAATTAGTAGTTCCGAACATACTTGTTTAATGAATTTACCAGTCTCGTATTTGTGAGTAATGCATGAAGTTTTTGATGCTATACAAGAGTTCTTACTTTGTATGAAACTTTTTAAATACTGTATTTTCTTGTTATTATTGTGAAGAAGATACTAAATGTTTCATCAGCTTATAAAATATGTCCAAATATGTAAGAAATTTCAAGAGAGAGAAATATGGGCATTCTAATGTTTCAAAGTAGTCTTTGAAATCTCTCAGCTTCAGTGCTAGAGAGAAGTTAGTACTGTGTAAATAGTCAGGATTTGTAAGGTTTTTCACATTACTTCTCATTATGTTAACGTTATGTAGATTTACCATATATTCTGCTTCTCTAAGTGTAGTTATCTTTTACTTTTAGAACAAAATATCACATAGTTAATTATTTTGATTTTTGGTTCAGTTATAGAAGTGTATATGGCTTATAGCTGTACTGCAAATTGGTAATTTTCAAAAGCTTGTTTAGTGGCATACTTAATATTGAAGGTGTGGCCTAACCCAACCCTTTTCTCTTTTTTTTTTTTAAAAACAAACAAACAAACAACAAAAGAGACACATGAAAATACCAATATTATTGTTCTAGAAAAGCAGCAGCTGGAAAACAGGATGCCTTCCAGGAAAAGTGGGCAACTCTTCCAAAGCTTTCATTTTCATATTCGTACTGTAGCCCTCCACTTGCTGACTTGAGCACTGCTCTCCCTCTACTCCCTTTGCAGATTAGGACCATCTGGTAGTTTTGATTTATTTAATATTGGTTTTGTTTCATTTAATATTGGCTGCCTTTGGAAAATTCAGTGCTGGATGTGATTTTCAAAATTATCAGTACTGATGAAAATTAGACTCAAAAGGAGTGCTGGCACCAAGAATGTGCCCTAGTGAAATTTCTGGAAAAAATCATAAAGTGGTTATGTGGAATGCAGAAGAATGTTGTTTTGGTTTGCTTTTAGTTGATCAAAATTCCTTCATACCGTATGGGACTGTCAATATCTTTACTTCAAAACTTTTTAACCTCTTTTAAAGGGGTTTGTGGAACACTTGGATAAATTCTGAAGCGTAGGTAGTGCTATAATAATACTTGTTAAGAATTAATCTTGTTGGTTATAAAGTCAAAGTGATTTGCACTGTTACTATGTATACTTAAATTTTCTTAATTTTTATTTTGATAACTTATGGAACGTTTTAAGGGCCATCACAGTTGGTGCTTGCACAATACCATTTTCTTCTCTCCCTGTGCCCTCCGACTCAGTGTTAGTATCTCTCTCATACCGGTGTTGAAACTTCTGCTCCTGGAGCAAGCTGGTTAAAGGGTGTAAGCTGGTAGAATATTAAACACAAGAAGAAGTGACTAGTTTCCTGTCCTTCAAATGTATTTTAGCATCTTGAGCTGGCTCACTAATGAGTCAGGAGAGTGTCAGTACTAGTGTGAGGGTGTGAACAGAAATGCAGGACTGGTAGAAGGATAGAAAGCAGTAGAAAGTAGAGGCAATCGGCTTGAACTGTAGCTTTGAGTAGTTGACACTACGGAGAATAGCAAGGTGTGCTGGATTTTTGTGAGACCAACTGTGATCCTTCTTCTGGTCACCTTAACTCAAAAACTTGCCTGCTCTGTCTCTTACCACCACGACTAATACATTTTATCTCTGTAGCAATTGGCTCGCTTAAATCTTTAGGCAGTTATTACTGAAAAACTTACTACTGTTAAACACAGTTCCTGTGCAGAGATATGCTGTGTTTCCTATAACAATGATGAAAAACGTCGTGATTTCTACTTTCTATGGTACGGTATAGTCAAGCCTTGTTTGAGAGGCTGAGTTTGTTGTATGTTTACTGGGGAAATACACTGGATAATGTTACTTATTAAATTATTACAATACGGTTAGCGCTTTAGCATTGTAGTGGTAATGGGCTGTGCTCTACAAGTTGTACTGTATTTCTGCATAACCATTCACCAGTAACAGAAGAGAGCATGTTAGTCCCCTTATAATGAATTTCTGAGAAGAAACACAACTTATCCCATGGAATTGTATCATCGTGCCCTGTAGCAGACCTTAAATTTGTTCTGCAGAAATCTTATACTTCCCTAACTTGATTAGCAGGAAGTTGTTCATCAGCATTTTAAAATACTTTGTGGCTTTTCTTCTGGGAATTAGTAGTGCTTATGGCAGCCAAATCAAGCCACAAGGTTGGCAGTGTTTAGAGGCTGCCTTTTGTGCTGATATGAACTTCAATAACGGCCCTGTATGTTTCATATTCCAGTACATTCTTTTCCCTTTGTAAAGGCATCTAGGATATT